TTTGCAAAAATACCTGCTGCCTGACACTGATTTTGTCCTGTTCAAGGATGAGAACAGCTTCATTGAAAATGGGGTACACTATGTTGGCTATGCAGAGATGACACAAGATAAAGTGGTCCAAGTGGGACCCCTCCCCTCTGAATGGTCAGCTCAGTGAACAGAGCTATGGGTACTCATACAGGCTCTGCAATGGGCAAAAGAAAAGAGGGTAAGTGTTTATACAGATACCTGTTTGCTACTTTGCATATCTATGGTACAGTCTATAAAAGTGTGGTCTTCTCACAGTAGAGGGCAAACTTATTAAAAATAAACAGGATATATTATAGTTGTTTGAGGCATATGAAAATGTAGCAAGTAGCAATAATACATTGCTCAGAACACCAGAAAGGAAAAGATGCAATAGCAAAAGGTAATGCTAAGGTAGACATATAAGTCAAAAAGACAACTAAACAGAAAGTTTAGATGGTCACACCTACCCCATGTGAAGTTTATAAATATGCGTTGGTATGGGTTTGTACTTATTCTGGATGGCCTGAGGCCTTCCCTATGAAAACAGGGAAGGATTCAGAGGTATATAAGATTTTATTTAAAAATTCCTAGGTTTGGTCTTCCTCTCTCCAAAGGCAGTGACAACAGGCCAGAATTTGTAGCAGAGGTTGAACAAGATCTAGCTAAACTGTTATACTACTCATTGGCCTTAGAGTTATGGTAAGGTTAAAAAAAATGATGAATCATACCATTAAGGGAGTATTAACAAAATCTTGTCAGATAACACTGGGGTTATGGGTCTATCTGCTCCTTTTTTGCCCTACTTAAAATAACAGATACCTCAAGTCATACTGGGTTCTCCCCACATGAGGTCTTGTTTGGAAGCCTACCCTGTATCTTGAGAGACTTTATAGGAAATTTATCTCAATTGGGCTCATCCAGTATGGAATTACAGCTCTTAGAATTGGGCAAAGTGTTTCAAAATATTGAAGGGTGAATTAGCTATGAAGAAATCAACAAATAACAAATGTTGGTGGGGCTGTGGGGAGAAAGGAATGCTTCTCCATTGTTGGTGGGAGTGCAAACTGGTTCAACCACTATGGAAATCAATATGGAGATGCCTCAAAGAGCTGGGATCAGACATTTCATTTGACCCAGTGATCCCTCTACTGGGTATCTTTCCAAAAGAATTAAAAGATTCATATCACAGTGATATAGGCACACCTATGTTTATAGTGGCACAGTTTGTAATAGCTAAAGCTTGGAAACAGCCCATTTGCTCATCAGTTGGAGACTGGATAAAGAAGATGTGGTTTTTCTATAAAATGGAATACTACTCAGCCATAAAGAAAGGGAAATTAGAGTCATTCATAGGAAAATTGATACATATTGAGGATATACTCCTAAGTGAAATAAATAAGTCACACATATAGAAGTACGAAATAGTTTCTTTGGTGTGAAAAAGTATAATGGTCCTAATGAGATAACTGAAAATGTGAAATAGGAAGAAAAGGGCTAAAGGTATAGGGGAATTGGGAAGGGTAGGGGAAAGGTAATAAGGGAAAAGAAAATAAAACATAAGAATATGAAAAAATGGAAATAAAGTATTTGTATAGGGTAGGGAGGAGGGGGTGAAGTGAGGGCAGGGATAAGAGGAAAAAATGGGAACCAAGGCCTGTCATATAAAGGTACAAGAACCCATTGATGAATGTAGCTGTACTATATACCTAAAGTGTACCAATAAACTCAATGAGAAAAATAAATAAATAAATAAATAAATAATATACGATGGTGACCAGAAAAAAATAGAAGTAAAATAAGGGAGAGATGATATTTAAAAAAAGATATTTTGGAGAGGGTAAAGAGGCTCAGCACAAGGGGCAGGGGTAGAGTCATGGAGGAAAAGGGTTTGAAAGATAATGATCATATAGTATACATTTGTACCAATTGTTCATAATGAAAGTAACTGGTATGTATTATAAAAAGCTGTTTCCAAGCCACCACCCAGAGTACACAGTAAATTCATTATCAAATCTGCTTAGGGAACATCAAATCAGATCTCCTCCTTGTAAACTATTAGTATAAAGTCACTTTTAAGTATGACTGGTTATTTTGTTATTTTTTTCTTTTACAGAGCTGCAGAGGTTGATAAATGCTCTCAAGATTAATTATGGTATGAACATCGAGAAATATTTTTTATGACTCCTGCTACAAATCTGCATATGGAACTGCTTGGTAAAAAAATTAGGTGAAAGCTTTGCATGTGAAGGCACTCTGATTAACCCTTCATCAGCCTCGTACATAACACTGGGCTTAACTTATATGAGCTCCATAGATTTGAACAAAAGCTTACTGAGTGCAACAGACATAGAAATGCCTCCACTGACTTTCAGTCCTTTCAAAAACATGAAAAGTTTTTGATGAAAAACCCTATAGTTGTAAGCAATGTGGAAAATCCTACTGTGATTACACTGAAGGAAGTAATGCTAAAGAAAAATTCTTTCTTTATAAGCAAGATATGACAGACTTCAGTACATCTACACATGTTCAAATCCAGGAAAGAGATCTGAGTAGGAAGAAGGCCTATATATGTATACAGTGTGGAAAAGGTTTAAATTCTCAATATGATATTCAGAAACATGAAAGAGTTCTCAGAGGGACAGAAACCTGTGTATATAAGCAATGTTGGAAATCCTTAAATAATAGCATTTCATCTAGAAATCATAAAAGAACTCACATTGGGGGAAAACCCTACATATGTAAACAGTGTAGGAAAGCTTTGACAGAGTGGTTGTCAAAGGCATGAACAGACTCACATTGTGGAGAAATCCTTTGTATGCCAGCAATGTGAAAATGCTGTCAGCAAACAGAGATATTATCAATGCCATGATCAAACTTACCCTGCTGAGAAGCCCTGTCAATGTAATCGGTTTGGGAAAGCTTTCAGGACAAACAGCAATTGTCAAATACAAGAACAAACTCACACTGGAGAGAAACCCTGCATATGTAAGCAGAATGGGAAAGCTTTCAGCAAACACAATTATTATCAAATACATGAAAGGACTCACACTGGTGTGAAACCCTATATATGTAAGCACTATAGCAAAGCTTTCAAGACACAGAGTAATTGTGAAAAACATGAAAGGAATCACACTGGGGAGAAACCCTATATATGTAAGCAATGTGGGAAAGCTTTCATCACATACAGTTACTGTCAAAGATATGAATGAACTAACTTTGGGAAGAAACCCTATGTATGTAACCAATGTGGGAAAATTTCAGGACACAGTTTAGTTGTAAGGAACATGAAAAGATTCACACTGGGGAGAAACCTTATGCAAGTAAGCAATGTGAAAAAGCTTTCAGGACACAGAGGCATCATAAAATACATGAAAGAACTCATAGTGGTGAAAAACCCTATGTATGTAAGCATTGTGGGAAAGCTTTCATAGCACAGAGGCAGGATTTAAAAATATGAAAAAAAAATCTCACACTGGAGAGAAACCTTATGTATGTAACCAATGTGGGAAAGCTTTGAGTTGGCACTATATATATAAAATACATGAAAAAACTCACACTGGGGAGAAATCCTATTTACTGTAAGCAATGTGGGAAAGCTTTTATCAAACAGTCATTATTAAAGAAATGAAAGGACTCACACTAGGGAGAAACCTTATGTGTGTAGCCACTGTGAGAAAGATTTCAACAGGCACAGTTCTTGTCATATACATGAACAAAATCACACTGGGGAGAAACCCTATATATGTAAACAATGTGGTAAAGCTTTCAGCACACACAGATATTTTTAAAAACATGAAAAAAGTGGCCACCTCCCACCAGTATTTTTGTGAATTACTAGAGGAAGTACAAGGTGGTCAGAAAGCACATGGCAATATTCAATTCACAACCAAGCTACTTGAAACCAAGCCTTTAATACATGGCCTTTAGAAGACATTTTATATTCAGATGTATGTAGGATAATATAACTCCTGCCTGTTTCATGTCAAATGCACCAAGTTTGTGGGCTCACAACATTGAGGAATGAAGTTCAAACCAAAGGCAGAAGTTAGAGGTGTTTCATTGGAAATAAGGAGAGAATAGTGCCGGGACTTTCAGTCCCCTATGAGGTGGCCATAGAGTCCCATTGTCAGGGGTAATTTACACTGCAAAATCATAGTGTGGGTGCAGTGTGGATCGAACTACAATCAACTTGTAGGATTTTAGCAGTTTAGCTAATATTGATCAAACAGGGAAACAAGTCATGTAGCAATGGTGCATGGAAAGAACACAGGTATTTCACAGAAGGAATGGATCTAGTTGCTCTGGTCACCCACCAGATCTCCTAATTTCTTCATTTGCTCAATATTTGCATTCCTTTTGGGGCCATACATTGATTTTATTGGCTGAAAATGAATACATGGAGAGAGGTAGTGTAAAAATCTTGACAATGAAGTGTGGTACCTCATTCCCAAATAATGATTTCTGCAAAAGCCTGCTCTCCCTCTATTTCATTGTGGCCTGGCCTGACCTGGCCTGAGGATGTTTTCTGACATCAGGGATTGATTCTACCCTAGCACACTGGCCCTCAAATCTTCTAAATACATTCAACAAGAGTCCACTGAGCTTTTTTTTCTTTTTTTTTTTTTTTTGTACCGAGATCGAACTCAGGACTTTGCGAGACAGGCACGGTGCCACTGAGTTACATCCCCGGCCCATTCACTGAGCCTTTTAAGAAAACAGGAAGAGCACTGAAAAGTGTGGGGTAGAGCCCATAAATGTACCTATCCTTCAGGCGAGGTACGGTCAACCTAGCAGAAGACAGTCTAGGCCAGAAGTGTCTATGTTGCACTCTTTCATCTCAGACCCGCTCTTGCAGGCAGGGGTTTGTTTTCTCTTTACTTTTAGCACAGAGGGCGGGCAAGAGAGCAGAAGCCAATCAGAGATAAAGGGCGGGCTGTATGAACTGTCCAATCAGGTGGGCCAGGGTAGGAGGGTTCTTCCGGTGTCATGGCGCCAAAGTACCTTCCTTAGCACTGTTCCACGTGTGGAGTGCTGCTCCACCTCCTTCTGTGACTTCTACTGGCTGCAGCCTACACAGGAGTGACTCGGGAGACCCAAAAGCCACGCAATGGTAACGTTGTGGGATGGGAGCTCTGAAATTGAGTGGAATTGGGGTGAGATCTGGTTAGAAGTGGTCATAATCAGCTGTGGTTGCCAGAGCCTCTATGCTAAGCTTCAGACACTGAGGTTTTCCTGGACTGGGAACCAGGCATCCTCTGTCCCTCTTGGCCCTTGTTGGGTCAAAGGTAGCTCCGGGTCCCCAGAACCTTTTCCCCACTGGGACACCGCCAGGCCACAATGCCATCTTGGGAAACCCCCTTTGCCCTCGAATCTCCATCAGTCTGGGGAGAGGAAGGGGGTGGAAGACCCTGACTCAGATGTGGGCTGAACCTGGGTGCAGCTGTGGTGAGCTAGGTCCTGGTCTCATTCCTGGCCAGCAGCAGATCTGGCGGATCTGAAGTTTCTAAATGTCTGTGATGCAGGGTCTCACAGCCACAACACCTCTCCTCAGAGTTCCTCTTTTTTATATTTATAGCGATCTCCTACATTTTCAGTATCTCCTCACATTTCCAAACTAGTTGTAGGTATTGACAAAGGTCCTGAGAATTCAAAGAAGTGTGGTGTGCCTCAGTGGTGGAACACTTAGCAAACACCCAGTGAACTCCTTCCTGGCTTCCATAAAGAGCAACACAAAAGAACTTTGTAATCTTACTTATTTGTAATCTGACACCCCTACTCACAATGAGAATGTTTAAGTGAGGAATGCCATAGAGTTTAGGATTCTGAGAAAAATGGAAGGGATATAAAAGCATTAGCAAGGCCAGAGGGAAGTGTAACTGCTGAGGACAATTTCCAGAAGGAGTTGCCTCTTAAACCCATGCTGAGAAATGCCTTGAATTGAGCATTTGCATGGACATATAGATGTGATATGTGCATGAGTGGAAAGGGACAGGGGTGTCATCTCTTAATGGATATAGAGTTTAGCCTGATTGTAGACATTGTTTAAATACTGAAATGCTCTCTGAGGCAGGCTTTAAAGGGAGAACTAGTGCAGAAGCCGCATAGAGAAGTTTTGCAAGGATCTTAATCATTGGGCATAAAGGGTTTTCTGCTTAGGGTGGATCAAAGGAGGTGGAAGAGAATGGCATGAGGAAGGGTGCCAATAGTAGCACCTACACAACTGATCCCTGAAAGTCAGATTGTTCTTAGGGAAAGCATGAAGGAAGAATTGTGTTTGCTTGCCTGGTCTGTGAGTTGGCCAAAAGTCATAGGCTTTTAGAAGGGGAAATTAATAATAGATAAATATGTCTTTTATCACTAAACAGTTCACCTAATCATTTCTGAGGCAAAATGGGAAATTAGGAGACTGTCTGCCCTTGGTGTAGGTTTTTGGTTTTTGTTGTTGTTTGTTTGTTTTGGTACTGGGGATCAAACTTGGGACCTTGTGCTTGCTAGGCAGGTGGTGGAAACACTGAGCTAAATCTCTGGCCCTGGTGTAGGTTTTAAAAGTGTGGGCACCATTACGGAAGTTGAATGAGAGTTTACCTAGGCTACAGAAGATTTCAAGTGTGCCTGATGTTTTTATTGCATGGGAACTGAACTCCAGAAGTTTGCTCTGAGCTACATAATCCCAATTTTTTAATGTTTTAAAAAATTTTTCATATAAAGTCTTACTAAGTTGCCCAGCATGGTGAGATCTTTTGATAGTGTTTGTACCTCATTGACTGTTGGGATGACATGCATGTGCCACTATTCCTGTTTCACATTGGTGTTTTGTTTTTTTGTTTTTTTTAAAGGCAGAGTCTCACTATGTAGTTGAGACTGATGTGGAACTCACTATGTAGTCCAGGATGGATTTGAATTTGGTGATCCTCCTGCCTCAGCCTCCCCTGTGCTGGGATTATAGGTGTGTGTCACCATGCCCAGACAGATTGGTGTTCTTTATTCACCTGATTTACCAAGATTTCAGTGCTTGAGTATAGTAAAAATCAGCAAGGCCTGATGGTTCACCTTTACTCTCAGACACTTGGAAGACTGAGACATTCGTATTACAACACCAAGCCTGGTCTGGACAATTGAGGAAGACCTTCTTTCAGTATGAAATATAAATTCTGTGATTTATTTCCACTGAACACTAACTCATTTAACATGCCTTAGTCCCTGTGATAAACAATAATTGAAGAATAAAAGCAAAAATTATTTGGAAATTGTAGTTTGAGTTTTTTATTTTATTCTTTTTTCATATGTATAATACTTGCTCATGGTGGTGGACAGCAGTAATGAATCACTTTCAGCAACTGGGCACCAAGGGTAAACAAGCAGAGATTTACAGGGCACTGTATTCAATAAGATTCATGAGACAGTATTGTACTGTGGATGGACTTTGTACTGTGGTACATATATTTCTCCAAACACAGATTAAGCAAGTGTGTTGAGCAGGTTTAAAGGATCCAAGGCTTAGTGGTAATGTTTGCTTGGTCAGGCATATTCTGTACATTTTCAACGCATTTTCTTTTCAACTTCCTTTGGGTTGATCATATTTTTCCTCTCTAACTCAAGTAATGTGTCTACTTCAACTCTTCAAAAAATCTCTGAACATGCTACTCATCAGATTGTTTCCTTTTCTGAAAGCTGCATTAATCAGGTTCCCTAGTGCATCTAAAGCAAGAGAAATATGAGCAATATTTGGAAAAGGGGACACTACTCTGGATTTGGGAGTTTTTTTCCTTGTTTATTTTGATTTGGTTGTTTTTATTATTAGTATTATAAAAAGTGTCCTACTGTGATCATATTTCCATAACAAGGGGATAGAATAGAGATTTCAGTGATCAGACACAGGTCTGAGCAGTTTGAATAGAAGCCACTAAGCATATATGCAAGGCTGAAGAGAAAACACTTTCATTCTTAGTTCTAATTTATGTTGATTTTGGAAATCTTTTTTTTTTTTTTTTTTTTTTTTTTTTGAGACAGGGTCTCACTATGTAGTTGAGACTGACCTGGAACTCACTATGTAGCCCAGGCTGGTCTCAAACTCACAGTGATCCTCCTGCCTCAGCCTCTTGAGTGCTGGGATTATAGGCGTGCACCACCACGCCCTGCTGGAAACCTTTCTAACTGCTTCAATTTTGGATAAACATCTGCTGTTCTATGCGGATTTGCAGACTCATGTAATTCCACTTCCATTTCCATTACATTAAAGAGTTTAAGGTGTGTCTGTTCTGGGTGCTTTCCCCTTTGCAGTAATTTGTTATCTCTCTGGGAAAAGAAATGACCTTTGGCCTTTGTTATTTGTTCCATAAATTACAATTGACTGCAATCCCTGAAGCCCCCTAAATTGTTTTGATTTGCCCACATGCAGAGAACTAACCTTCCATGTTGGTATCTTGGAATTGCACAGGGAAATGGTCTGTGACACAGCTGAGATAAAGCACAGAGTTTTGGTTCAAAGTGCCTTTTAGTCTGTATCTCCCTGTGTGTGTCATCTTCCACCATGAAGCAGTGGATCCTGTTCTGGACTTGCACACTAGTGACCCCTGAAATGTAGTGCATGTGATGAGGACAAGGAGAGAATGTACAAGAACAGACAGTACTGTGTGGAGAGCCCACTGAGCTTGGATTTGTGGTGCAGAGCTAGAAATTTGGCAGATCTTGTTGTCTGCCCATTCTCACACCTTGTCATTCAGGAGCTTGTGTGTCCACTGCACCTGCTAAGACAGTGGTTTTCAGAGAATGGTGCATGTCAGAAAACATGTGAGTGTCTCAACTTTGTTGTTATAATTATGACATAACAGCATAAGGAAGACTTAGCAGCACCTGAACAATGTCCCATAACAAACAGGGTACCTCTTACTAGAAGGAAATCTTGACTCAAAATATCCCTAGTGCTTGACAACCCTGATTTTTTTTTTTTGTAAATGTCTACTTTTTTTTTTTTGAGACAGGGTCTCATTATGTAGTTGAGACTGACCTGGAGCTCACTATGTAGCCTAGGCTGATCTTGAACTCATAGCAATCCTCCTGCCTCAGCCTCCTGAGTGCTGGGATTGCAGGCATGTGCCACCACACCTGGCTTGTAAATGTCTACTTTTTAAACATTTAATTTTTGTTTTGTACACAGTGTAATTATATCTGATGCCTATTGTGTGATTATTTTTAAGTACCTTAGAGTCAGTAGCAGAAGGGACCACGCAAGTGGATTGCAACTGAAGCTCATGAGGTTTTTATACAGTAAAATTGCATTATCTAGTATTTTATACAGTAAAATAATTTTACAGATTTCCTCTGTTCAAAGTAAAATCAACTTTGAGCTTTGTAACTTTGGGTTACAAGTACAGTTGCCTAGTTAATATTGATATAATACTTAAAAAGGCATGTGTCAGGATACATCTGTAGGAATCAGCAACTTAAGTTTATCAGTCACTGTTTCTGGAAAAAGAACAAAGGCATTTCTAGAAGGAGTAGGAGTAAGGGTCAGGGTATTCTAGGCACCCATCTGCTTGTTTGTTACGTTGTTTGGGCTTACTTGACCAGATGTTACTAGTTACACTACAGCTTTGAACAGTGATTTATATGGTGAGGCTCTGGGACTAGGTACCACTTCTCCATCTTTTGGCCTGGTTTCTTTCAGCTAAGCCCTCAGCTGCAGACCCAGTTCTCCTCCTCTTGGAAGTGGCTCTGTCTTGGGCCTGATCTCTTTCTAACTCCCTTTCTATCCAATAATTACCTATTTGCAATATAAACATTCATGTATACATTTTTGTGTGGAGTTATGTCTTCATAACTTCTTTATATAACGAAGATAGTGATAATGACCAATATGGAAACAATTATGGTTATACAAGGATTGTTGCATTCAAAACTCATGATAAAATCTAATTCCCAGTGGTATGGATGAATTGGTGAATAGCCAGTGGTACATACTAATAAGTGAAAATATCTGAGTATATATGGACAGTTGGGTTACTTAGGAGGCAGTTAGAAGTAAATAAAGTCTTTTGGGAGTCCCTGTTACTGAATACTAGCATTGAAACAGAGTGAGAGGAGAGCAAGTTGCTGCACTCCTAGACTCTC